CAGAGTTAAGGAAAGGACAGATTTTATTTCATTATATATTACCTGAAAGGACCTGATTACTAATTTTTGATCTCTGAAGACGAAAACCTCAATGTGCAGCCAGCTGATGTTCCCACATATCTAGCACAGAAGGTAGCTTGTAGGGTAAGCTGATGGGCACTTGAATGAACTACTTTTCAAGTGCTCTGTGGTGAATGTCCATTTTTTTTCTTGTTTACAACCCATTATGAATTAATAATTTTGTAAAATATAATAATAGTGAAATAAAAACAAAAGGGAACCCTACAAAATACAAGGTCTGATTTATTATTACTGTTATAGTCAACAACTATAACATTACCATGTCAAATTGCTATAAATGATTCTCTGCAGACTCAAAGCTGTGACAGCCTGCAGTCTGGTACAGGCCTGAATGAACTTGGAGTAGCATTGCCCTAACCTACTGCCTGACCTTTCTGAAGGGAAAACAGATGGCTACCTGTATTAGAGAGTTTAGATAGTCTCAGGTTTGTAGGAGGGAAGACCAGGCAATGTTTGAAGGTTATTCCAGTTTGCTGATTTCTGACCTGGGTCATTTGGGTCCATTTCTGCTCCTGGCTTCCATTCACCTGTAATGAAAGCAGGGCTTCTGGGCTCATTCGTGTCTCTGTGTCTTGGGCTCCTTGTTCAACATGGTTCTTCTAAACTGCCTGTTTGATGCTTGGAAATAACTTCCTCCTCCCCAACATTTAGCTTCAATAGAAAGGAGGAGGAAACATTTACAATATCTCCCTGGATTTTTAATCTCAAAATACCATCTTCAATTGTCGTTGGACTGTACAGTTTTAGCCCATGACACAATTCCTTTTTTTTTTTATACTGGGGATTGAACCTAGAGATGCTTTACCACTGAGCTTCATCCACAACTCTTTTTATTTTGAGCAAGTGTCTAAGTTGCCGAGGCTGGCCTTGAACTTGGGATCTCCTGCTTCAGTTTCCCAAGTTGTTGGGATGACAGCCATGTGTCATTGCATGTGCCACCTGGTCATGACATAATTCTTAACTACTTCAAGTGTTTCATTACTTAAATTTTTTATTTTATTTTATTTTTGCTTTTTGCAATGCTGGGTATCAAACTCAAGGTCTTTTTTTTTTTTTAAAGCTTGGTTGAAAGTATTTGAATGGACTGAGACATGCACATAAGTAACAACCACCTTTTTAAAATAATTTTTTAATACTTATTTTTCAGTTTTCGGTGGACACAACATCTTTATTTTATTTTTATGTGGTGCTGAGGATCGAACCCAGTGCCCCGTGCATGCCAGGCGAGTGTGTTACTGCTTGAGCCACATCCCCAGCCCCAAACTCAAGGTCTTGTACATGCTAGACAAGTACTCCACCAATGAACTGCATCCCCAGCCCCTTACAGTTTAAGTGTTGATGTGACTCATACTTTTCGTCATAATATCTTGACAAATAATTCTCTTTAGCAATATAAGCATTTTTGCCTGTGCCACCAAACAGTCTTGCTTAATTAGAGCTTGACTTCTAACTTTTTATAGAGTAGGGATAGATAAATTAATGTTGCTAAGAAAGAGGGAATTTTCTAGTTTTCTTTTCTCCTATCTGTTCATTTTTATCTTGATTAATTTCATGATTATGGTTTGTTTTAATCAGTTTTTTTTTTGTTGTTGTTGTTGCTGTGACTAACCAGAACAACTGTAGAGGAGGAAAAGTTTATCTGAGGTCTCATGGTTTCAGAGGTCTCAGTCCCTAGGAAGTTGGTTCCATTCCCTGGGGCTCAAAGTGAGGCAGAAAATCATGGTGGAAGAGTGTGGCAGAGGAAGGCAATTCACATGATGATCAGACAGCAGAGAGAGTGACTCTACTTACCAGATACAATTATATATCCCAAAGCCATGCTCCTAATGCTCCATTTTCTCTAGCCACACCCAACCTTCCTTCAGTTACCACTCAATACCATCAGATGATTAGTCCACGGATTGGGTTAAGACTTTCACAACCCAATCACTTCTCCTTTGAACCTTCTTGCATTATCTCACACATAAGCTTTTGGGGGATACCTCACATCCAAACCATAAAAAGGTTTCTAATTTGAATTTATCATCTTTAAAAACTTGCTATAACCTGTGGTGGTACATAACTGTAATCCCAGTGATTTGGGAGGCTAAGGCAGGAGGATGACATGTTTGAGACCAGCCCCAGCAATTTATTGAGAACCACAGCAACTTGGCATGACCCTGTTCTCAAAATAGAGAATAAAAAGCAATGGGGATGCAGCTTAGTGGTAAAGTGCCTCTGGGTTCAATCTCCGTATCCAAAATAAACAAATAAATGAAAATAAAAAATTACAATCTGCTATAAAGCAAGTTTAGCCAATTTGCTTAATAAAAATATAATTTATGGGCTGGGGGTGTAGCTCAGTGGAACAGTACTTGCCTAGCACGAGTGAGGCACTGGGTTCTATCCTCAGCACTGCATAAAAATAAATAAATAAAATAGAGATATTGTGTCCATCTAAAACTAATTTTTTTTAAATCAAGAAAAATATAATTCACAGTGGAAAAACTTCATGATGAATCCTTAGCAATTAAGGATTTCTTACTTTGAATGTTGTACTTCAAGTGAATGGATAGATAATAACTTCTATTATAAAAATAGTTTTCTTTTAAGAAGTCTAAAAATATAATACAATTTGGTCAAACTTTTAAATAAATCCCCATCTAAGGGTTCCAGGGCAGCTAAGCAAAGTTGCCTTGCAGAGGTTTTACCTGAAGTCATGTTTTCTTATTCTTTACTGTGCGGGCTAAATTCCACTGTGGGACAAGTATGAGATGACTGTGCTGGGGCCACAGTAGATTGAAGAACTTTTGAAACTGTTGAGATGCTAACATAAACCATCACACTCCAGAAGAAGACAGACAGCACCTGTGCTTCAACCAGCCTCCTAACTGGAACATTTCCCAAAATACAGCTCCCTGTCATTCCTCTCACATCCACTCATCTGGTTTCATGATTCATTTTCCAAGTTCAGTTCTACAATTCAAATATTTCTATTTTGTGTTTCTCTCTTTGCCTCAAATTCAACAAACCTAAAATAAAATCAATCTCAAAATCTCAGAGTTGGATGAGATCCCAGGGGACATCTAATCTTGACTTCAGTGGCTACATGAATAGTTTCTATAAGGCTTCCAAGAGGGAAGTTTCTCTAATCTCTTATCTCACACCTCCAGCTCCAGGGAACTCCCCTCTTCCCAGGACAGCCATTTTGGGAACCCAGCTTCCAACACCAATTCTACGTCCTGGGTTTTCCTGCCAGGAAATTATATCATCCTCTTTCTAGCTCTTCTGTCCCCTTAAGTCTGCAGTATCTGATTACTCCTAGACTATACTATTTAATCAAGTATGGGATGGATAAGGCCTAAAGCTTTTCCTCAGCCCCTTCTCAGAGACCTTTAATTCCTAGAACACAATTAATTGCTGATTAATTGTACTGATAATTAAAATTAATCAAGAAATCAACCTTAGCAATTAAGGATTTCTTACTTTGAATGTTGTACTTCAAGTGATGTTTTTGACCAAATAGCCACATGAGAATTATATCATGTAGCCATAAATTAGAAAGAGAGCTACAGTTCATTAGTAGATGAAGTGATAATTATGTAGTTTATACATCACTTACAGACTCCTGCTGAGAGAAAAGTGTTGTGTACAATTTGAAATGATATCTCAGAGAGACTTTGGCAAAATCTGCACAGTTCACAGAAGAGGTCTCATTTTTTTAAGTCAAGTTTTTTGTATCTGCTACTCTGTAAACCTAGCCTGTTATTTCCTATATAAAAACAACAATAGTGAATAAATACATTTTTACATTTAAAGGTAAAAAACCCAACATAATCTACCTTTCCTGTTATACTAGTAATGCTAGCACTTCAAATGACATGAAAGATGCAAAATTTGAAACTTTTCATTGATTTTCAAATTATTCCAGTAGGATGAATAGAAATAGAATCCCTTAATGTTACATATCATTTCTCTCCACACCTGAACACAGATGTGTGCCAAAGGATGAGTTATGTGTAGTTCATTAAGGTCCAAATTCCTTTCTAAGATATGGCACTGGAAGAAAATGACTTCGTGATGAGTAAATCACCAGTTACTGGACTAATTTTCCAAAAGCTGTGTTGCTGCAAAGAGACCTGCTAAACACGGGGTGAGTCATGCTGCTGTTTAGAAGCCCACCAAAGAAGGCTATTCTGTCGCATCTCACACTGAAGTTAAAAATGTGTTCCACTCAGGGAGGGCAGCACTAAGTTATTTGAGGACTGCTACTTCCCAGAGGATCCAGCGAGGTAGAAACTAGTAGAGAGGACAACAGCCAAATGGCGGACACCGGGCAAGGGTTCATCCATCAATCACTTTGGCTATGGATGGATGGATAGACAAATCGTGGTATAGCCACACAATGGGATAGTATTTGTCCATAAAAAAATAGGATTACTGATAAATGAGGCAAGGTGGTTGAACCTCAAAAACAGCATGTTCAGTGAAAGAAGACAGTCACAAAATGTCACATATGACATATTCCACCTAGAAGAAATATTCAAAATAGATAAATCCATAGACATGGAATGTGGATTGGTGGTTTCCAGGGCAGGGGTGGGGGTGGGGGGAGGACAGGAAAGAGGAAATGGGAAGAAGCTGCTTAAAGGGTTTTACTTTGGAATGACCATGATATTCTGGAACTGGATAGAAGCATAAGTTGCCCAACACTGTGAATATCCCAAATGCCACTGAATTATTCATTTTATGATGGCTAAGAAAAATAAAAGCAACAGATTTGTCTTAAAGCCAGACTGTTGCTTTTAGAATCCTCACCATTGGGCTTACCTTGCACACCATGGATGTCTTTGCTCCGAGCTTAGCAGCTTGGACACACTGGTTGGCACCTTTCCCTCCAAAGCCAATAAAAAACTTGTGTCCATGGATGGTTTCTCCAGTTTTTGGCAAACGAGAAGTCAGACTATTATAATTTAAAAAGAGAAGAAATAAAGCACATTGGTAACTACAATCAATTTAAGTTTTATAGAAGCTACCTGGTACAGCACTCCAGTCTTAACATTAAAACTGAGAGTTGACGCAGGGGAGATCGTCTCCCCCCTTCAGGGTGACATTCAGAGTTCCTATCATTGCTGGCATGGCCTTGACAGAACTCTCTCTCTATGCAGTGGACTTTGGGGGACAGCTGCTAGGGTGCACTACATCAGGGTTAGTCACAGGTACTTCTGTTTCATACTCTCTCCCCAGTGGCCAGCACAGGGCTTTATTCACAGTGGGAGGTACTAACTGGGATGAAGTCAACGTGTATTTCGGTAGAGGATTAGCAGGTCACTTCTATAAGAGGCGAGAGGTATACTAGGATTTTTGTGATCATGTACAGGACTAAGGAGAAGAGGGAAAGTGTAATTCCAGGCAGGCAGGAAAAAATTCTATTTGTTGCTGGGTGCTGGTGCAGTGGCTCATGCCTGTAATCCCAGCAACTGTGGAGGCTGAGGCAGGAGGATTGCAAGTTTCAGACTAGCCTCAGCAACTTAGAGAGGCCCTAAGCAACTCAGCAAGACCCTGTATCAAAACAAAAATCAAAAAGGGACTCAGGGCATAGCTCAGTGGTTAAGTGCCCCTGGGTTTAATCTTCAGCACCATCTTCCCCCAAATTATTAGTTTACTTGGAGGTAGAAATAGGAGCAAGGTATTGAGGGGGCAGATCAGATTTGGGTCCTAGTCCATCTTGCATGCCACATTATTCCATGCATTGACTAACAAAGAACATCTATTTAAAGCAATGGATCCTAAAGAGCTATTTAGTTTTTAATTTTTATTATTGAATTTTCCAAACATTAGAGTAGAGAAAGTAGTGTATTGACTCCCCTCATTCCTGTCACTCATCATCCAGACTCAGTAACTATCCACCCACGGCCAATCTTCTTTCAGTCCCTACCTTCACTGACTTCTTCAAAAGCTAAGGACTTTTTACCATGTTATTGCCTAATCATGTTCGTTCCCATATAAGATTTTTAGCACCTTAAAGATGGAAGATGTGGGCTGGGGTTGTGGCTCAGCAGTCGGTTGTTTGCCCGGCTTTTTGGGGGCCTTGTTTTTGTTCTTCGGCCCCCCTTAAAATTAAGTTAAGGGTTTTTTTTTTTTTTTTTTTTTTTTTTTTATTAATTGATGGTGGATGTTGTGAGGCAACATATTTTTTGGAGGATAGCAAATGATTGACTATAAAATGGAAGAGGAGTTCTGGGTATAACAGTGAATGGAGATGGGCTCTAATGGCAGGAGGACTGGTTGCCTGGTCACATAGTAGAGGTCCAAGGGCCAGATGGAGCAGTTGGAGGAGGGTGGTGTGACCAGAAAGGTTAATTTAGGTAGGAAAGAAAGAGGTAAATTTGCAATGGTATATCTACTGAGAACTAATGAACAAATTATAAATTCATATTAATTTTCAGGCTGTGATGTATCTGAAGTCAGTATCTTATTATATATCATTACATTAGAATAAAGAACAACGCCAGTTCTTACAGGTCACTAACAGCTTGTTTGCAAATGGGCTGACGTATAGTTGATGCCAAGAACACGTAATTTCTTCAAAAGACGAAGCTCAACCTGTGAACCTTCTTTATGTGGTTCTAAAAGTGTCAATAAGTTGGGCTAAACTATTCCATTCCCCAGCAGTATGCTGTCAAATATGGTTGAAATTCAAAAGAGACTCATCAATAATTTGAAAACATCCCACTCCTCCCCTTTTCAATTCTATTTTTACCTTGGATTCTAAATGCATTTATAGTACTGATGAAAAAAATATACATCTAGAAGGTTCACTTCTGAAAAAGGTACTCAATCAAGAGAAAAATTGTTTTAATGTAATGTTATTATCCTGTCATTTAATTTAGCAATGACAAGTGATGATGAGATTTTGATTTGCATCAGAAATCTTAAACATTTTAGGATTCTGTTATGAACAGGCAATGATGAGTAATCTGTGTGATTGAGTAACTATGTGAATTCTTGGCTTATTGATGCTGCTACAAACAACACTCATAACAACCTTATAAAGAAAAAATATCCAATGTGGCTAAAAACAGGCCCAATAACTTAATTAGCAAGACTGTCACTAAAGAAACTTATGGCTCTCACTATATTTATACTTATATCTGGGTCACAATTTGCTGATTTGAATAAAATATCTTTTATTATTAGCTGTGGGAAATCATGAGAGATGTATCACTAGATTATTATTGGGATGTATATGTATGCAGGGGAGGGTGGAATCTGGGTATAGTGGGTGTCTGATGTGGAAGCAGATGGCTGGAATTTAAGCTCATTTCTAAATAAATGATATTAATACAAGCACTGTATTAATTCGTCAATCACTGAAATTCTTCACTCCTTTGGTATTTTACTATTTTCGCTTCCTTCTGCATCTTTCCCCTGCTCTTGCTTCTTTCTTTTTCCAGTTGTAGATTTTCCCTATACAAGGACAGGGATAGTTTACTATGTTCTCCATTTTATCCAAAGGGACTGTCACTTAGCAGACATTGAACAGATAATTTCGATAGAACAAAATCATTTAAGAGTCTCCCTTTGTCTCTTTTCTATGTCCCCCCTGTATACCATCCATTCTTGCTTCTGAATCGAGGATGCTGAGGTGGTGATTAGGGGAAGGAGGAGACTGGCAGGGATGACTGTACAAGTGCCTGGCAACAACACTTCCATGTTTAACCAGGTCTTGCCCACTGCATTCCAATTTTAGTAGCATCCCCTTCCATAAGCAAAAACTGTCTAAGTCATATTATTATTCCTTCATTCATGCAATAATCCCAAAATGTTGATTCGGTTTCCTGATGTACAGGACAAGACCAACTTGCTAACAATGGGATAAAATCCAAGCCTAATGCAAGTAACAGATGAATGAAAAAAAATAACAAATTCTTTATAGAGCAAGGAGCTTATCATGATCTGGTTTGTCTTTTAAAAGGAAAAATATATCTACAGTAATGCTTGGCCTAACCAGAGGATTTGTTTTGAGAAATGTGTTGTTGGGTGATTTTGTTGTTCCTGTCACAATAAGCTCTTGAGAGATCACCTTTGTATATTAGTCCATGGTTGACAGAAATGTCATTATGCACTGCATGACTGACTGCATGTTCTCATATGATATGTAAATGCACAAAAAATGAAATGTTTATGACAGAAATCCTGGTGGGTCTAAAATTTTCATGTTTTACTTTATATAATTATGCACACGTAAGTGTATACAACAAGAATATATTTGTGTATTACAGGATACCATTCATCACTACTAATTCATCGTCCTTCCTTATTTTCCAGTCACCTCTTCTTCCTGTGCACCAATTAGATTCTTGCAGATGAACCTCATGGAGCTCTGCCAGGGCTGCATACACTCTACTCTGTTTGCTGTGGCTCTTTGGGCTGTACTGAAAGACTGAACAACCAGTAACTAACTGGTTGTTTACTTGGAGGGATGTCAACTAGAGCATGTCAAATATCTTCATATGGGCTCTTCCTGTTTCCCTGCTTCAATTCCATTGCCCCCTTATTCTTGCTTCCTCCATTACACTGCTGACTAGAGTAGATGCACTAACCCTCTCTTGTATGCTATGCTTCTGTTTAACATAAACTAAAATATTTTATTGCATATTTTTTATAAAAGTAAATTTAAAGAGTAAAGAATGGAATAGAGAGAGCAATTGGAAAGTTAATTACAAACAGGCAGAAGCATTTCTGAATTTTAAATCCTAATTTACTTTGAATTAGGCTTTCCTAATTTTTGCCTTATTGAAATCATGAAATTATGCTGATGTTTAAGAAAGGAGCTGCATAGAGCACAACCCCCTGGATTCAAGCATTACTCTTCTATCTACCAGGGTGTTGAAGACAAATTAAAGTGCTCAAAGGGTGGAGGGAGGGCAGAAGCAGAAAAACACTGTTGCTACCATTTAAAAATTAAAATAGTATACATTTCTGAAGGAGGGAGAAATACCACACAGAAAAAAACACCATAAGAAATACATTTGAATCTAAAACAAATTCAGAGTTTTAAAAATGTTATAACATTTTTGAATTGGACAGAAATGACCAAGTGACACATGGCCCTGTGCTCTTCCCTGCCATGAGAGGTCTCATGCTTAAGCCCGAGTATTTGAGGCGGGAGGCCTGAGCCTCTTGTGATGTATTACTTGACAGCTTTTCCCTCTTTGAACCGGCTTCTTCTCTTGCAAAACAGTTTAATAATACTTGTCAACTCCTGAAATGCCTGGGTTTTGTGCTCTGAGTTAATTCACTGACAGGTGTTACCAGAACAATTTATCAATTGCTTTTAACTTCTTGACAATGAATTAGTTGTTTCAGATTCTCAGAGATTATTCAAACTGAGGGAAGGAATGACCTGGTGATAGGGGATAAGTTTTTCAACCAAAGAGTCATGCTAATAATGGCTTCAGCCCAAAGTCAAGGAATATGTGGCCTTTTGGCTTTTGCATGGGTCTATTCTTCTGGAAGCAAGCTTCTGACACACTGTAAGCCTCTACAATAGGAGATCATGCTATTAGTTAATACCCAATTAAAATTCATCACACTAATTTATTATTCTTACTGCCTGTATTCTTCAACCATATCTGTCCTTCTCAACGTTTGTGTATGTCATATTTAAAAGGCTGAGAGTAATTTCAAAATCAAGTTGTCACTTGCAACAACATGGATGAACTTAGAGGACATTATGTTAAGTAAAATAAGCCAGGCACAGAGAGTTGAATACCACATGATCTCATTTGTTCTCAGAATATAAAAAAGTTGAACTCACAGGAGTAGAAGTAGAGTTGAATGGTGATTGGAGGCTGGAGGGGAGAGGTGGCAGGGAACAGGGGAGACACTGGCCAATGTATACAGTTACCTTCACATGGACAAAGCAATGATTCACATCCCAGGTGGGATGGAGTAGAA